GTTAAGGTTTCATTTATACAGAATCCAAATAAGAGAGACTTTAGTGGTTGTGGGCAATGTGTGAAAAAAAAAGTTTGTATTTCGTGGGTTTAGTAAGGGTATTTCCAATTGTGTAATCCTAGGTAGCTATTGTTAGGGTACTTAGAAGCAAGATCGTAATATCTTGAGTGAGATCTCCATTGTAATATTCCCAACTATAGTTGAACTTGCTTTTTCGCAGAAGACTGAACGTAGTCTCAAGATAGGGGCAAACCAATATAATCCCTGTGGTGTTAAGCTTTTCTATCCTATCTCTTATTCTTTTGTTAATAGTTGCTTACTTATCTGCTTTTAGCATGTGGAAGGGGAAAATCAAATAGTTTTTGTTTGAAAAACTTACAGGAGGATCGATTTATCTATTTTTTTTCCAACCGTTAGACTTCTAGATTGAGAATATTTGTTGCTTGTATTATCTTAAAAAAAAAATGTGTTGCTTACTGATCGTTGTTCGAGCTGAAATATCTTACGTCTTCGGTTGGGAACGAGAATTTCTTTTTTGAGAATAAGAGAAGTCAAAAATGATGCAACCCAAAAGTGGGGAAGCCATTTCTAGTATGCAACCAAGCGACAGGCCAGCTTAAGATAGTTGGCTAAGTAACAAGTCGACCCAACGTAGATGATCGAGCCGACCACAGCTTGGACGAGTGACCAGCTCGTGGGCCTTGGTTCTTGGTCTTTGGGTCAGGTCCGCTTCTTAAGTCTCAGTCTCTGAGTTCTCGAACGACTGCTTGGTATTCAGACTTGGCTGGTTAGAGTTTATAGTCCAATTCGTACTTATATTATCTTGTTTTACTTCAATATATGTCATTTAGTATAATTAGTGCATTTGATGACCGACAACCAAGGAGATTCATAGTTTCTTTACATTTATGTGATTTTTTTTTTTAACAAATATTTGGATCCAATTAGATATTATTTCAAATAATGAATTTCTTTAATTTAAACAAATATGTTAAGTGTTAACAAAAAGAATCTTTTGTTTTTTTCGAGGTCGTTGTTTGTTTGGGTCTAGGTTGTTTTAAAATCATGGTTTATTTTTATTTTTATTATTTTTTTTAGTTCAATAATAAATAAGGATAGAGTCAGGCTAGATGAGAAGTTCAAAGGCTCGTCCAAGTTCCGTCCAAATCCAATTTAAGTCTAATCCATGGCCAATAATTGACCGACTCGATCGAACTAATCTAACTCTTCTATCAATTAGATTGAATATGGATCTTCGTTTTTTAAATTAGCCGACTATGGACCTGCTATTTGAGTCGACTCGATCCAATAACTATTAATATTTCTATTATATAATATGTTGACATATTATTTATTTATAATAAAAAAACAATAACACATCAGCAATAGGCCACAAGCAACCTTGCATTATGAGCACATTTAGTAGGCTGACATCTCAAGAATATGGAAAAGGAAATGGTAATGTTATTCATTTTTAAATGTAACTTTTTCCTTTTTATAAATACAAAATTTTTTAAATTTTAAATATTTCTTCCATCGTACTTAAGTTTTTAAGTTATTTTCTTATTAAATATCAACTTCATTTCCTTTTTCCCCGCTCTAATTTTATTTCTCAATCTTAATTTCTCTCTAATTCTCAATCTCAATTTCTCCAAGTTTCAACTCAAAGAGTTTAAGTTCTCCAATTTTCTCAAGGTTTGTATTTTTGACCATTGTTCTTTATACCAAAAGTTGCCAAATTCTTAATTGGAAAATCCTAAGTAATAGAGACGTAGAGGATATTGTAATAAAAAATGACTAAAGTTTTCCTAAATTGGATATATCACCATACTTGATTTCCTGAATTTTAAGAAAGGGTAAAATTCCATTGCATCATTTCTCCATTTTACCCCTCCAATTTTCAACTACCTACATTCCATAAATCACATTACCAAACCACAAATCCCTAAAATCTCCTATCCAACATAATCTAATTAAAATCTATAACAAACCTAACTAATTGGGTAGTAAATTCCATTGCAATCAGCATCTGCTAAATATTCTCTACATTCATCAATCCCCACTTTTTTATCAACCCAACAATCTCAAGTTCCTTTTAGACATGGAGGGATCAACAAATCGAGTAGAGAATGACTTGTAAAGTTTGAGTCTCCAGATCCGTGATCGAAATTTATTTGGTAAGCATTAATTCATTCAATAGTAGAAGAATTGAAGATTTTTTTCTTCCCCTTTATAGTTTTCTGCCACAAAATATGTCATCCAAACCGTTTGCTGTTATATTCGTTCGAAGGGAAGCTCTTTCCTAGCTTGATTCTTTGGATGCGCGAATTGTGTCATTTGAATCCCATTTTAATTTGTGCATTTGAGTCTTAATTTGCAAAAATTAGAAGCAAACATCGGAAGAATATATAATTATTTAGAATTGAGAGAAAGTAGTAGAAGATGGGGAAGATGATTGGAAAGGAAAATGAGTCTCCTTCCTTACGAGACATTATAGTCATAGTGAGCAGTCATATGATCTTCTTTTACAATCAAGAAAAAATCAAGGTATTTTTGAAATTTTGATCTTTAAAATTTATCAAGCAAGAGCAAAAAGTTGTTTCAAGGTATTTTTACCACAAAATTTAAGGGGATGGCGGGATAATTTAGCTATTTTGGTGGGAGGGTATATTTGTCTGGTCTTTTTTTTTATCTGGAAAAAGATCTCAACTAACCAGGTATGGAAGCTATAATTGTAAACCGGAATCAAATCTATGGAAGCATTGRTTTATACATTCCTCTTAGTCTCGACTCTAGGAATAATTTTTTTCGCTATCTTTTTTCACGAACTGCCTAAAGTTCCAACTAAAAAGGTGAAATGATTTTTCATTATCTCAATTGAAGTAATGAGCCTCACAATATTGTGAGGCTCATTACTTCAACTAGTCCCCGTGTTCCTCGAATGGATCTCTTAGTTGTTGAGAGGATTGCCCAAAAGCAGTATATTGAACTATAACTGTCTAATGTCATTTTCGTGATATTGGATATTTTTGGCCATTTTTCAAATCGCATCTTTAATATAGTCATTCATCGAGTTGTCCCTTCTTAACTTTCATTGCTTCAAGTTTTTAACTATTTCCAATATTTTCTCCTAATTTGCACTTACATTTTCTTAAAATGTCACGTAGTCACGAAAATAATTAAAAATAAATTATTATATGTGTCAATTCAAGACCGAACTAAGTAAAATCTAACTTTGACCCATCCAATTAGGTTCATAGATTGAACTATGAGTTTAAATTTGAGTGGTTGGACCGAGTCAAGTCCTGTTTTCCAAACAGGACTTGAGCCTGAACCAAGCTTGAAGGTGGGGTTTAAATCTCCAACATTTTAGTAGTGAATAGTGAAATCATTATTTTTTAACGCTTATCATTGAAAGAAAAACAACTTTAACCCGATCTAAAAAGGTTAGTTCATCAATTTGATCTATATAATTTTAGAAGTTACAATTTTTGGTTCTTATAGTTTATATTTAGTTCAACTTTGTCTCTATGATTATAAAATTTTCAATTTGATTTATATTGATTTGGATAAACTTTACAAATCGTCCATTCATCAATCCACCCATTTTTTCCTATTTTAATTTTTTACTATTACCTAAATTCTAATAGAAACAAGTACATAAAAATCACTAACTCATTGCCACATAAATAAAAAAGGTATCATGCATTCGATACGGTAACACAACTTGAATCAATATAGACCACAAGTGAGATTTAACCAAACAGATGATCAAATTGAGAATTCTAAAATTATAGAGATCGAATTAAATCTAAAACTAAACCGTAAGAATCCAATCCATAATATAGCCTTCTAAAAATAACCCATCCATGAAAATAAGGAAAGAAAGAAAATATTAATGTAAAAAAAAAAAGTACAAATAGACTAAAAAATCTAAAATAGAAACCCCCTTCAAACTTAATGTTTTTTTTCCAACTCATGCAATTATTTTTTTAAAAAAATTTATCGGTTACTTACCTTATCATTTTATCCTATATATATATTTTTAAATATCTCTCTCTAATCTTGTTGGTTTTGGCTAAAACCCTCCGGCGGCTAAAACTAAACTCGTGTAGCTAACCCGCGACTAAGTGGCAGAAGTTTACTCCCCGAAGGCCTTTCCGAGTAGAACCACGGACACAGTCAAAAGAAAGACTTTCAGAAACAAACCCAACGCCAAAACCCCAATACCAAAATTTGGTTAACAACAAATAGACCCATTTTGAAGTGAAGATTACTCTATCAATTCCATGGATTCTTTTCAGATTCATCTGTGAATGAAATGACCCCATAGACTGCAAACAGTAAAGACAAGGAAAGAGAAGAGAGGCAGCAGCAGTAGCAGGAACAAAACTCCACCAAGATGCACCAAAGCACAAGCAGCAGAACTATACAAATGGTGGTTGGGGTGGAGCGGGACGGGACGGGACCGAGGAGGGGGGGTTGAGGAGTGTGGGAGCTTCGACTAACTACCATCGGTCAATTTCGTCTTGGGATCCTCTCCCACCCCTTTTTGAGTTCACTGATTGTAGAAGGTAATCTAGCAGATGGGTTTAAAAACTCGAGACAAAGTTAAACTCGGCCTCAAATCCCTGAAGCAAAATTCACCTGTTTTGGTTGACTCACACTCGGCGTGGCAACTCTGCCAAGATTTCACTAGCTAGCAAGATTGAAGAACAACAAACAGAGGTGAGGTCGAGGAAATGGAGACAAACGATTCATCTGAGTCAAAGTTGTGGCTTAAGCTCTATTTCAGGAGTGCTCAAGTGCAGGGGGTGCCATAACAAACCAGGTCTTCAAACTATGATCGTGCAAGAAAGTTAATTCCTGAGCCCAAATCAGAGGCATTCAACTGAAAGAAAGAGTTCTATCTATCTCTTATATTATCTAATCTATCACAACCATTTTGACAATTCTAGTAGAAATTGATTGAATCTCATTTGTAAGTAACTACATGAATGTGCATCAATATTCAAGCACAGCTGTTTGATATTCTCACATGATGATAACAGTATGCTACACAAGGCTTTCCACAAGACATTATATCACTCAAGATCATTGAAGAAAATGTCCTTTTATCCAATTCCAAACTCCACCAATCCTATTCTTTGTGAATTATTCCACGACTAGCAAAAGCGATATCGAATTAATTTATGAACAAAAATTAGCATTTGAAAGTAGAGGAGGATCATACACCGCAGAGTTATTGGGTGGGATTCAACAGTGGTTGGTATCAAACTCCCAATCAACCTCATGAATTACTCGGAGTCAGCATAGGAACGAGAAGAGAGTCTTTTGAATCTTCACAAAGAAGTAGAACTTCAACCCTTCATCACCTGTGCAACAAGAGAGATTGAAGAACAATCTACAACATTAGAATCCAGAAAGAATTTGAATCTCAATCATCCCATTAAGGTTTCTTAGATGGAGAATTAGTACAACAGAACCTCTCATTTTCTTGAGAAACAAACATTAGAAAAGGATCTTTATCAACAGAGCAAAAGAGGCATTTGCAAATTACCTTGCCGTTTTCAGGTAATTCAGGGACCTTGTACAAATCAGCCGTGATCTCCGACAGCCATAACCCAGGGAAAAGCGTCTGTAAAATAGTACAGATTAAAACGTCGATGCTCAGAATTCTTAGCAGAAAATGAAACCCAGAAGGAGATTAGAGAAGTTGAATTTTGAAAACCGCAGGAAAGTAGACGAAGAATAAGGGGAATTTGAATGAACTTACATCTAATTGCTTCTGTACGATTCTGGTCCTCTTCTTGGGCCGCCTCGGTGGTCTGAGCCCCACCATTTCCATGAAATCTTCATCGATCTCTCTCTTCGAGAGCGGCACTACCAATTTGACCTTCTTCTTCTTCTCCGGCCCAATTTTCAGCCTCGGGGACTTGGCGCCACCGTCGCTTCGCAACGGGGAATCGGAATTTGATTTCTTCTCATCAATCTTCAAAGTCTTACTTCCTCCGCCGTCGGAATTCGGAGCCTTGCAAGCGGCTCTCCTGGTCCTGAGGTTCCAAGGTCTGGAATCCGCCATCGACAACGCAACTGCCGGCGCCTCTTCCATCACCGCAGAATCGCTGTTCTTCTCCTCCGCTTCCACCCGAGCCACCGCCGCCTCCTTACTCAAAATCGCCTCCTTCATTTTATCCGCCGCGGTCTTCAGATCAAACATTAGCTTCTCCCTGACCGCCTCGATCCCATCGTCGTCGTCGCTTTTCTTGATTCTCGATTTCGAAACTCTCGTCCGTCTCATCTCCAAATCCTTCAAGAACATCCGCATCTCCGACCCCGATTCCCGACTCCTACTGTCGGTGGACTCCTCCGATCTCGAGGAGTGGGATTGCTGATTCACGCCGGTAACCTGTACGCCATTAGAATTCACCTTCATGCACCTCAAGTGCTTCTGATTCCCCCACTTGAGACACGGCAGCATGAAATTGTGGAGAGGTTTCGATCTCTCGGACCGCATTCTCGCCGGACCTCTTCTCAAGAGGCCGCCGGACAAACCATTTACCGGAAAAGGAAGGGGAAAAAAACACAAAAAGGGCCGATTGTGTGGCCGGAGTGAAGATGGTGTGAGTTAGTGAGAAATTTGAGAGGAAGATGAAGAGCGGGAGAGAAGTAGAGAGTGGTAAAGGGGCTGTTTCTGTCGCCGGCGCTCACAGAATATGGCCGGAAACCAAAAAGAAAAGAAACAAGTTTATACCGGTTGAGACTTGAGAGAGAGAAGAGAGAGAGAGAGAGAAACGGAGCGGATAGTTTTAACGTTCGGACGTAGGGTTAGTTTGGTAAAATGACATCCAGAAATAGCTTCTATTTTAATCATCCTCCACTCCAACTCTATGGTTAAATTATAAATTACGCCCTAAACTAAATGTATTATATATGTGTGTGTAGGTCCTTATGTCAAAAAAATAAATATATATGTGAATGTGTAAATGTAATTCATACACGAGCCAAGAGTTGATCTAGGATGATTGTAAGGGCAATGTAACATGTTTGCCTATTATATCTTGGTGATGTAGGATTCTAGATGAGATCATGACGAGTCGACTTCTGATTTGATTTGAGGTAGATGTCCAATTAGTCGAGGTGATGACTTGCAAATAGAATCTTGCATTAGTGTAGTACTCGGTCATTTACACTCTAAAACTTAAGTTGGGATTTAGTTTGAGCTGGTGTCGAGCCTAACTTAGTTAGGTTGCATAGAGATTGCGTACCTTTGTGGAGAATAGACTTCGTCGTTTATAGGGGAGCTTTGGGAAGCATTTCATGGCATTCTGACACTTCATATTTAGTATTTAGTAGATTTTAGCACGATGGTATTAGTGTGTTCAAGTTGGTGCATGTTGAGTCGAGCTTTCGTGGAATCAGTCAAGAGTGACTTTTCTTGTACTTAATCTATCAAACTATGACTTGAACACGTGTTCGAAGGTGAGACGGTCCGTTGAGAGGTATGATTCCACCTCTAACACATTTGATGAAGCTAAAGTTAAGTTGTTTTATAGACACAACTTTGGTGAAAGACTCTTAAGGATGCCAGCCTTGGAATGGAGTTTCCGTAGGCAAAGGAGATATCTGTGGAAGAAAATGCTTAAATAACCGCCTAAATTATCCTAGGGCCGTTTTTTTTATGAGAATACGAGATTCTCGTTGGACGGGCATCTGGATTTGCACATTTGTTTTAGGCGAATGTAAGATACCCCAGAATCTCGAGATGCCTAGGTATCCTAAGATGCCCATACGGGAGACATGTTACTGGTTTTGGATGTGTTTTGAAACATGGGTATCCAAGATTCCCGTGTTGAGGGCATCCACTTTTTACATTTTTCCCCTTCATTTTTCTCCATATATTTTCTTTCATCAATTTTTTTTAATTTTTAATATTTTACCTTTTTATTTCAATATTTTAAATTTATAATTAAAATAAATTAATGTACTCGAGACTAATAAAAACTTTATGCTATTAAATATATTTCTACCTTAGATTTACATGTAAAATAAATTATAATTAAATTATATAATATCTCTGTTTATTTTTAATATTTTGAAGAAATTATATTATTAATAATATTTATTATCATAAATATATAATTTTAAAGCAACATTTTTTTATGACCAATATACCTATGATATTTTTCCTTCTAGAAAATATAATGTAATGATAGGATAAATAAATTTCACCCAAGATAGCATAAATTATATAATTATCTTCTTGAAAAACTATTAAAGTTGAAAATGAAATATATATTAAGTTAATATGAATTAATTTGTTCTATAAAATAACATATAAAAAAATTATTTCAAATAAATCTATTATATTAAATGAATTTATTAATAATATAAATATTCGTAAGGCTATTTTTTGAATGTTGTATAAATTTAACACGAAACAAACGTGTCTATCCAAAGATTCCCGGATATCCTTATAAATTTACCTACGAAACAAACGTGGTTACGTGAAGATGACAGACATCTAAAATTCCAAGCATTTGAAATTTCAGGCATCTATAGATACCGGGCATCTATATTCCCAAAAAACAAACGACCCCTAAATATTAGTCGTTAAGGTCGAAGTAGGAATGTTCATGGGTGGGGATGACCCATTTAATTCCTCGTTCCTACGAAAATTTCCCAGAAATTTCACAGGAATCTGGGCAAGGATTCTCTATGGGGAATTCATGGGGATCGGTGGAGAATTTTCCACCATTTCCTTTTTTTTTAATTTTTAAAATTATTTTTCAATAAAAATTTTTCTAAAAAATTTGTATATATAATTACTTTTAATTTCAAAGATAAAACCTGATTTACAAGGTCTAATTCTCCCAATTATATATTAGGCAGGTGGGTATAGAGAATAATAGAATTACTTTAATGTGTGTATATGTATATATTAAAAAAGATGAAGCAGAGCGAGGAACGAGAAACAGAGACAAGAAACGTATTTCGTCCCCATCTTACCTATTTAGTATTTAAATTTAAAAGAATGTATATTAGAAATCTTTTTTGAAGCATATTATACCTATTGTAAATATTATTAACTGATGCTAATACCACAAGTCTATTAAATAAATCTGGATTGATTTGGCATGCTGTGATTATGGAAATTGAGTTTTCTATGAGAAAAAATCTCGCTGATCACTTTATTTTTAATTATATTCTTATTATAAAATTAGTATTTTTACTTCTTATTTTCTTATTTATTTTAGAGTTCTCAATAACGTATGGAATGGGGATTCGAAACTCGGCCCTTTAATCGAAAATATATGTCTAATCAATTGAATTATAATTAGGTTGATATACCATTTAAAATACTCATTTTTTTTAGATATTTAGTGTTTTTATTGTTAATTTAATATATAAAAATTAATAAAACATAAATAATTAAATAATTAAAAATAGCAGGGTGGGGAATGTATTATTTCATTCATCTCCCAACCTAAAAGGAATTAGTGGAAACTTTCTCTCATCCCGAACACGTCCAATGAGGACGGGATTTTTTCATCAAGTGACAAACAACTAGACGAATCAAACATAACTCAACGACAATTGATACCTACTTCCAATCAAAAGGTTGTAAGTTTGAAACTCCTCCCCACATGTTGTACGAAAAAAAGAAAAACGGTGACCATGGAAAATTAAGGGTCCATTTGACAACTATTTCGTTTTCTATTTTTGGTATTTTGTTTTTAGTTTTTGAAAAACAAGGATATTTGATAACCAAATTCAATTTTCTGTTTTTTTGTTTTTCAAAAACCATTTTGAAATTGTACGTAAATTTAAAAACAGAAAAAAGCAAGGTTTTAAAACAAATTTCTATTTTTCAAAATCTCTCTTTTTTTTCTAATACTCAATTTTTTTATTTGACATACTTATCTCTAACAAATTTCGTTCTCCTTATAAAATTTTTTTCATCATAAATATATCTCTAAATTTTTTTTCTCTCTCTCAAATTTTAATATTTTAAATATTTATCATTATTTCTACCTCTATCCACATTTTTTTTATTTCTATGTATTTTTATTTTTTCTCTTTTTTTCCAATAGGTCACTTTCATTTCTCTTCCTAAAAAATTAATATTTTTTTGAAATTTTCTCTCTCTAAAACTTAGTCTTTTATAACTTTTTTATAACTTTCATTTCTCTTCCTAATGTATTTTTCTTCATAAAATTATATCTTCTTTTCTCATTCAATTTTTTTTCCATATAACTTCTATTTCTCTTTTGTATTTATTTATTTTCTCTAACAAATATATTTCAAATCTTGTTTTTATCTCTAAACTTTTTCTTACTATAATTTTTCCTTTTCTTTCTAATTTCTTTTTTTCTTCAAGGTATCTTTTCCTCACAACTTTACTCTTCCTCTTTAAAATTTTTCTCTTTTTATTTTGAACTTTTTTTCACTAATTTTTTTTCCAAATATTTGTCTTTATCACTCTAAAATTTCTTTTTTAAAAGTTTATTTACATCTCTCTAAACTTGTATTTTCATGTCTCTACATTAGGGATGACAAACGTTCCTGCTCGAAGAATAAGAAATGCATGTCCCAGTTTGATCCCCAATTCTATTTTTTAAATAATTAATATATATTTTTATTGACATATTTATTTAATTGTGAATAAAATATTAAATATTTTTTAAAACTAATTATTTATACCAGTAAATAATAATTCTAAAAATAATTAATATATATTTATTACACTTTTTTATTTTCTAAATTATAAAAAAAATTAAAATTAATTATAAAACAGGTAATTTTCCCACGAATATCCTCATCCCCAAATAAGGGTTCTTTAACCTGGATCTCAATTCTTGGATCAAAGAACAAGATAGAGACGGGAACCAAAATTTTTCACTAGCAAGAAAATGGGGGAGAAAACATCCTCACTCCCGCCTCACACTATTGTCATCTCTACTCTACATGGAATTTTCTGTCTCTAATATATATATTCAATTTTCTAACTTTTTAAAAACAGAAAACTAAAAATGATTACCAAAGTTTTATGTTTTTTAAAAACAAAAAACAAAAATAGTTATCATACATATATGGTTTTTGTTTTTTAAAAACAGAAAACTAAAAATCAAAAACATATAAATTAAAAACATAAATGGTTATCAAACGGGTCATAAGTTTTCAGGGACCTAGTAATTTTGAGTTTATTTATTTGTTTGGCTTACATTTTTAGTTACTTTATTTGTATCTCATTACTCAAAAAAAAAAACCTAAATTAAAATGGAAAGACCTAAATTAAAATGGAAAGACAATTGTTTTTCTTTAAGGCTATATTTAGTTAATTTATTAACTGTTACGAATTAAGTTGATGACACTTTTAACGGTCATAAAAGACTAGTTTTATAATAGTGCAAGATTAGCTTGGTCAAATTAAGTCGTATGACAATTAGGTTCAAGATTCAAATAAGTCCAAACCCCAATAAAAAGTTATTTGGCCCAAAATTCAAATTAGTCGGCATAATGAGTCGATTGTCTTAACTATATTTCAATAAGTCTAAATTCACCAAAGAGAATTGTGCTCACAATGCGAACATGGCCCAAGTCCAAAGGTTGGGGCAAAGTTACCCAAGCTCAGGTCCACTAAAGCTCAAGGAAGAAAATTGGACCGATGACCCAGCTCAAAAGTTGGGTCCAAAATCACCCTAGTCCCAATCGAGTAAAACTCATGGAAAACTCAATAAATAGAAGGGAAATCCTCAGGAATGGCTACTCAC